CCTTCCTGAGCCACAGAGTGACTTCCAGGCCAGCTAAAGCAACAGAGTGAGACCTTGTCTCAAAAAAAAAAAAACTGAAACAAAACAAAAAAGTAATAGTGAAAAGCAGAAAAAAGAGTCTTTCTGTGAGGACCACCTTGGGAAAGGAGACAAAGTTCCGGTGATCCCCAAGTCCACCTCCAGGGCCAGACGCGGGTGTAGAGATGAGCAGCAGACATCAGATGTCTTCCTTAATCATTCCTTACTTGGTTTTTTGAGATAGGGTCTCTCCTGAACCTAGCGCTAGCCAGCTGGCCCCACTGCATGAGCCGTGAGCACTTCCTAATGAGACCACTCAGTGTGTGCGCCCAAGGAGGAAAGCCCTTGGCTAAGCAATGAGGGCCTCGGTGCAACCGGGAATCCCCCAGTCTCTGCCCCTCAGGACAGCAAGCTCTTTGGAAGTGCTGAGCTTTGAACTTGGGTCTTCCTGTTTTAGCAGCAAGCATGCCACCAAGTGAACTGTCTCCCCCAATCCCAATATTTTTATTTTGGAGTGCAATATCTTGTATCTCTATCTCCCGTGTAGATCAGAATTATGTAATCAACTTGCTTCTGCCTAGCAACTGTCTGCAAGCACTCTCTGTCCCTCTAAGTTAGAGGCTTTATAGAAAAGTGCTCCTCTCAACCCGACCCCGCCCATGTACAAGGTCCCTTGGAGTCTGAACACACAGAGCATCACATGAAGACTTCTCAAACCTTCACTGAACTCTGAACATGAGAATAAGGGAACACCTGTAAATATACTCAACATAGGCACACCTATAGTCATTATAGGCACGTTTAATTATAGAGCATTAAATGAAACTAGATCACATAATTTTGCCACTACCTGGGTCATTGCTTCCACTTCCTATAAAATTTAAACAAGTCACCAAGTAACCAGAACGTCCCTCAGAGTCACTGTGCTACCCTCACCTTTAGACAGATTCCAAAGAGTGGCTCTTTATCTTCCCATACAGCTGTGAGCCGTTTAATAGAGAAGGCTCACTCCCTTGGGCTGGAGATATGGCTCAGTTGGTAGGCTTGCCCAGCAGGCCTAAAGCCATGAGTTTGATGCCCAGCACTGCACAAACTGGGCATAGTGGTCCATGCCTGTAACCCCAGCATTAGGGGGGTGGAGGCAGCATGGTCAGAAGTTTAAAGTCATCCTTGGAGACACAGTGATTTTTGAGGTCAGCCTGGGGCACACGAAATCTTACTTTTTAAAAAAAGTGTGTGTGAAAGTAAATACATACACGTGTATGTATCTGTATAAGCATGCACGCCAGAGAGACTCATCAGTTAAGATTGAGTACTGGTCTTGTCAGAGGACCTGGGTTTGATTTCTAGCACTCAAAACGAGCTCTGTGGGTACCTGAATTCTTGTGTACATACCCACACACAGACATAACATCGTTTAAAAATAAAAGTAGCTGGGTGGTGGTCATGGAAGGCAGAGGCAGGAGGATCTCTGTGAGTTTGAGGCCAACCTAGTCTACAGAGTGAGTTCCAGGACAGCCTCCAAAGCTACAAAGAAACCATGTCTTGAAAATCCAAAACAGAGAGAGGGAGAGAGGGGGGAGGGAGAGGGAGAGGAAGGGAGGGAGGGGGAGAGGGAGGGAGAGAGAGAGGGAGAGAGAGGGGGGAGAGGGGAGAGAGAAAGAGAGAGAGAGGAGAGAGAGAGAGAGAGAGAGAGAGAGAGAGAGAGAGAGAGAGAGAGAGAGAGAGAGAGAGAGAGAGAGAGAGAGAGAGAGAGAGAGAGAGAGAGAGAGAGAGAAGTCTTTGTTCAGTTTCAAGGTCAAGACAAGCCCTCCCTGGAAAATTAGAACAAGTCACTTTTTCCCCCTAGTTTAGGAAATTAAGAGATACAATGTAACTAAGAAGCTGCCCGCCCCCCAGTTGAGGAGTGAAGGCAGGACCAGAAGGAAAAGTTAGCACAGACTGCATTTCTTCAGAGCCAGAGTATCTACCTCTGACAGCAACGATCCCCTACTGCCCAGCCCTGACATCTGGCCTTACTCGGATCTGCAGTCTATGTGTGTATGTGTATCAGTGTACCCTGCACAGAACAGACATTTAGTGAGCAGCAAGTGAGTGACATCTTCTTTCCTGTGCCCTCTGTGGCAATGCTACGAAAACATCTCATATCTAAGAGAATGGAACTTTCCCCGGAACTCACAGCCAGAGTTAATATCACACCTTGAGATCACATAAGACTTAAGACTGTCTAGTCAACTGTATATTCAGTTTGTTTAACCCACCTTTTTATATAGCAATATAACAATTATGTAACAGGATAACAAGGTTACGTGTCTCCAGTTTCTCATAAGACCAACTTTTACAACCTGAGCATAGCTATAACCCTAAATTATGTGCTCCTGGATATCACTGACCCAGAGAACAATTCATGCATATCATTTCCTGAATGCAATAAAAATAGAGGTTGGAAGCAATCATAAAATGTTGAACACATCATTTGGATATTGCTTGATAAACAATGACATTTGTGACTCTGGAAGTTGGGTCTGTTGGAGCCACTGAGTCCCTTGTAAAACTGCTGAAGATTTCTGTAGAGTATCCCATTCCTTCCCTGTGTGGTGACTTCTGTGCCTTTCCATGAAGACAGCAAAGCCCTTTGTCAGGGACAGACACACTGAAGGACTCGGAACTAAGGGCAGATTCACAAGGCAGCCTTCAGGCAGGCACAGATTGAGGCTCAAGCAACAGATGCATAGGACAGAAGACACAGGAGAGTGAAGTAGAGAATTCAAATCTTAATCCCATCACTCGGGAGGCAGAGGCAGGCGGGTCTCTGTGAGTTCGGGGCCAGGCTGGTCTACAGAGCGAGTTCCAGGGCAGTTTCCAAAGCTACAAGGAGAGACCCTGTCTCCAAACAAAAAACAAAAAACAAATTAACTGCTCTTCTGTTCATAGCTCACATGCTTTTGTTCAAGTCCATTTCCTTGCCAGATCTAGTGGCATGGCTGTAATACCAGCACTTGAGAGATGAGATCAGGAGAATGAGGAATAGAAGGCTGCCCTCTGCTGAGTAGTGAGCTAGAAGCCAGCCTGGGTTGTGTGGCTCCCTGTCTCAAATAAAAGAATACAACATGAGTGTGAGAGAGAGGGAAGGAACTAATACTTGTTAAATATACATTTAAATTTTTATTACTATATATATAATACATGCATACACACACACACACACAGTGTTTGGGTTGTTTTTTGTTTTTTGTTTTGTTTTGTTTTGTGTTTTGAGACAGGTTTCTCTCTGTTTAACAGCCCTGGCTGCCCTGGAACTCGTAAGTCAGTGCTTTCACCTGCCAAGCCTCTTGCCCGCCCTCCCCCGACCCCCATGTTTTCGGTTTGCACTAGATACCCCTGCACTGTGTTGGCAGGTAACGCCAGCAGGCTTTGCTCAGATGGCCAAAGCCGTGGTCCACACGTTCCTTCTTTTCCCCTTCACACAGCCTCAGTAAGTCTCCCGCATACAGCCGAGAGGGCGAAGGTGGGGTTTTAAATGAGTCCGCCAGACCCAAGATAAATCATAAACAGGTGTTTACGAGGGAAGGACTTACACAGGTAAAGGTAAATAACCACCGTGGTCTTCCTGCTCCGGAAGATGCAGTCTCTGCTCTCCCGGTGGTGCTCTCCGGAACCCGAGAGCTCTGGACAGCTCCTCCCCTACCTTAATGGGTCAAGTCTGCACCCGAAACCACGCCCAAAGGGTGTGGCCACTACTACAAGTTCACTGGCAAGGCAAGATGCCACTACAAGAAAGAGAGATAGGAACAGACAGGGCTTGAGACACAAGATGAACAGGAGGCTGGGATAGAACAGGAACTGAGAACATGGGACTCCACCTGGGTCATGGCCAGACTAGGTACAGAGAGGATGTTTTCCCCACGTGCCCAGGATCCCCTGGAAACCCTCTATAACATAATTGTCTACAAGTCTAGTCAGGGAAACACAAAACAGGTAGGGACTCACAGGACACCTGATGCCAGCCACACAGTGGAACGATGCTGTCTTAGTCACTGTCCTATTACTGTGAAGAGAACCATCACCAAGGCAACGCTTATAAAGAAAACATCTAAGTGGGGCTTGCCTACAGCTTCAGAGGGCTAATCCTTCATCATCATGGAAGGGAGTGTGATGACAGGCAGGCAGGCAGTTGGGGTGCTAAGAGCTTTTACATCCTAACCTGCAGGCAGACAGAGAGAGAGACAGAGAGACAGAGAGGAGAGACTGGGCTTGCCTTGGGCTCTTGAAACTTCTAAACCCCCCCCAATGACACACCTCCTCCAACAAAGCCACACCTCCTCATCCTTCCCAAACAGTTCCACCAACGTAAGAACCTATGCGGGAGCCGGGCGGTGGTGGTGCACACCTTTAATCCCAGCACTCGGGAGGCAGAGGCAGGTGGATCTCTGTGAGTTCAAGGCCGGGCTGGACAAAACAATACAGAGAAACCCTGTCTCGTAAAACCAAAAAAAAAAAAAAAAAGAACCTATGGGGGCCATTCTCATGCAAACCATCACAGATGATTTCAACAGACTTACATAAAAGTAGAAAAACAGGGGCTGGGAGAGGGCTCAAATGGTCAAGTGATTGCCGTACAAGTGTGAGGATCTGAGTTCAGATCCCAGCACCACAGGCACCAGCCTGTAATCCTAGAGGAACCCTGGGGTTTGGTTGGTGCCCCAATCTATCTGCATAGTGCTTATCAGGTTCAGTGAGAAACTCTGCCTCAGATAATAAGGTGCAGCAATAAAGGAAGACAGCTCTGGGGTTACAGGTGCATGTGTGGCTGTATTTATTGCTGTGGTTTTGTTTTAACATGGGTGCTGAGGATGCAAACTCTGCTGCTCATGCTCACACAGTAGGCACACTTGCTCACTGAGCCATCTCCCTGCCTGCTAGTGATGGCTCTGGCCTGTTTGCATAACATCCAACCTTCACCAAGAGTTATCTGCGTCCAGGTATCAGTTTATAAGGGAGAACAAAGAAGAAACGTTTCAGGAGATGCTAGAAAAGGCCACGCTCCACAGACCCGTCACAGAGCTGCCATCGAGAGTTCAAATCAAGGACGAGACTGCTGACAGGAACACCGAGGCAGCCCGAGGAGAGGGGAAGGAGAAGAGAAAGGTGGAGCCTGTGGCAGAGACGCTTGTTCCAGGAAGTCGGGGAAGAGCGTTGACAGCCACAGGAACACTGTTAACACGGCTGGAAAAAAAAGTGACCGGCAGAGGAGCTGTTCCAGCGGAGGAGAAGGTGGCCCAGGTCAAGCCATCCCCCGCCTCTTCCCTTCACCCCACCACACAAAGAAGGCAAAGGCTGAAGGCCTCCAACTTCAAGTCCGAGCCTCACTGGGATTTTGAGGAAGACTACAGCTTGGATGTGGGGGGCCTGCGGACGGTGAGTTGGGATCTCCTCATTCCCCCATCTCCCACATCCCGCCTCCACCCCAAGCAGCCCCTTCCCCTAGACCCAGCTTTCAGTTTACCTTGACCCACCCTGTGTTTGGCCAACACTACGATTGGCGAATCCTTCCTTCCCGTGACAGCCAAAATCAGGGAGGAGAAGGCAGGTGCAGAGTCAAGGTCTGGACAACTCAGAAAGGCGTGGGTGGGAAGGGTTTGCCTTGGGACCACTGAAGAAGGCCTGGGACAGATCAGCAGCCTGCGGGGACAGAGCGTGGCCAGTTCTGGGGTGTGGGACACGAGTCCTTATTCTATGGCCCTGGGACTGAAGGACAAGATGATGGCCTCCTGCCCAGCCGCTGCCCTCCCAGGAACATCGCCGTCCCTGGGAAGCCCACTCTAGAACCCCTGCTCTCCTCCAGGCTCAAGAAAACTTGCCAACAATCAACCCCACACCACCTCCCTAAACTCTCTCACCCCTGCCCGGGAGGGCAATATAGAAACCCTGTTTGTGGATATACGTAGAACAAGATCACAGTCCCAACATACAGTGGCCGTAGCGTGTGACCTTCAGACCTGCAAGGGTGTAGCTGCCCAGGAGGTTTCTGGGGCCAAGGTAGGCCAGCCATGCAGAGTAAGGCAGCCAGGCATGGGGTCCAGAATGAAATGTGGAGTAGGGGCGGGAACTTTCAAGCTGTGATGGTGCCCAGCCAGCCTCTGGCTGATGGTGCCTAGCCTGCCTCTGGCTGATGGTGCCCAGCCTCTGGCTGATGACTCTCCCGGGTCCCTCCCTTGCCTGACCTGTCCTCCCACACATAGACCTGTCCTGACTCTCTGAAGATCAGGGCCTCCAAGTCACCGTGGCTGAAGAATATCTTTCTGCCCAACCTCACTCTCTTCCTGGACTCTGCACACTTCACCCAGAGCGAGTGGGACCGCCTGGAGCACTTTGCACCGCCCTTTGGCTTCATGGAGCTCAATCAGTCCCGTGAGTCCTGGCTTCGGGGTCAAAGGGTGGCCGGCTGCCTTCCTGTGTGGGATCCGCCCCATCCAGGACTCTGAATGGAGCCCTGCTCTGTTCCAGTGGTACAGAAGGTCGTGACCCGCATCCGTCCTGTACCCCAGCAGCAGGTGCTCCTGGCCAGCCTCCCCTCGGGGAGCTCCAGGTGCATCACCTGTGCCGTGGTGGGCAACGGGGGCATCCTGAATGACTCCCATGTGGGCCAGGAGATAGACAACCACGACTACGTCTTCCGGTATGTTCTCCGCCTCCAGCCCTTTGCCCGTGGATATATAAGGACCACTACGGGAGACCTGACGAGCGTCCCCGTGGTGCGCGTCCGCAGCTCGGCCTCCCCTGCGCCCGTCTTCTCCCCGCCCACCTCCACAGTTTCCTCTCCTCCATTCACAACGTCTACTGTGATCTCCCTGTGCAGGCTGAGCGGAGCCATCACTAAAGGATACGAGCAGGATGTGGGGACGCGGACCTCCTTCTACGGCTTCACCGCCTTCTCCGTAGTCCAGTCGATCCTCACTCTGGGTGGCCGAGGTTTCCAGCACGTGCCTCTGGGGAAGGTGAGAAGACAGGAATGGGTGTGGCCACACGGCCCGTGGATCGGGGAGTCACACAGGAGAGAGAACGAGCGAGCGAGCGCCTTGTGTGTGGATGGAGCCTGCACCGTCGCGTGCTCCACCCGTAAGAGGGAAGGCGCAGTGAGCGCAGCCACTCAGGCCATGGCGGAGCCAGGCCACAGTCTGGAACCCGAGCCGGGCCACCCGCCCGGCCCACAGTCCTCAAGACTGTCCTCCTGAACCACCTGCTGTCCTTGGTCTTCAGGATGTCCGATATCTACACTTCCTGGAAGGCACCCGGGACTACGAGTGGCTAGAAGCGATGTTTTTAAATCAGACCATGGCAAAAACCAAACTTTCCTGGTTCAGGTACCACTTCCCTCTTGCCCCGCAAAAAGCAGGTCAGACTGAGAAGTGAGTGGCTGACTTCAAAAAGACTTAGGCAGACGTGCCACCCGGAGATGGGGGGATAGCAGTCACGCCATGACCCTGACTTGACCCCCCAACAGGCCAGGTAAGAGAACAGGTCCTCAGTGGTCCATCCCTGAAACAGGCACAGGCCCCAGGACGTTTTCCGGGACGCCTTGGACTTAGACAGATACTTGCTGCTGCACCCAGACTTCATCCGTTACATGAAGAACAGGTGAGAGCCGAAAGCCCGCGGAGGGGCTGTGTCTCCTCTCATCCTTGCCGTGTCCTGATGGTTGGGGGACCGGGGTATTTTGAACAGGTTTCTGAGGTCGAAGACCCTAGACACTACCCACTGGAGAATATACCGGCCCACCACCGGTGCCCTCCTGCTGCTCACTGCCCTTCACCTGTGTGACAAGGTAAGGTCGCAGAGTGCGGCTCCGAGGGTGGCTGCAACTATCTGATGGGAACGGAGAAAAGGGGCCGTGGGCACGCGCACGCATGCGCACCCAAGGGACCTGCATCCAGACCCATCCCTAGGGCAAAGGGGGTCTCATGAGGGGACCCCCAGGACAGCCAGTGCAACCCAGCTCCTCCTCCAATCTCCATACAGGTTAGTGCCTATGGCTTCATCACCCACGGCCACGAGCGCTTCTCTGACCACTACTATGATAAAGTGTGGAAACGGCTGGTCTTTTACATAAACCACGACTTCAAGCTCGAGAGAACAGTCTGGAAGCGGCTGCACGATGAAGGCATCATCCGGCTGTACCAGCGTCCAGAAAACCCGAAGGAGAAGAGCTGACCAACCAGGTTCAGGAGCCTCCTGGGTCACACATGGCACAGGGCGTAAGGATTCCTCAGATGTCCCCAGCCATCTCCCAGGACTCGAACCCGCTCCAAGCCCTTCCAGAGTCCCAAGGACGGCTGTGAGACCGAGGCTTTGGAGTTCCCTGGGAAGTCACTGCAGGCTCTGGGAGTCTTTTGTTCAAACCCCACGCTTCGAATTTGAGCCAAGCCATGAACCATTCAGTTCATGTTACCTTACTTTTCAAACTCTGTCTTCGGGATTTTGGACTCTGAGACCTAAAAGGACACTAAAGAACAGATTGAGGCGACTGGTACTGCGTGGAAGAGAAACAAAACAAAACAGAACCCAGCAACCAAACAAACAAACAAACAAGAAAAAAAACCCACCAATAACAAAACCTTGTTTAGATTTAGACTTAATGCCTAAAGCGGTACCAAAGGATTTGGGATTTGCTCCGATAGTGCAGTGGCGGCTCAGGCCGACAGGGGGCGGCAGCTGAGCTCCCGAGCGCTGATTGCCTCTCCTTGTGGCGGGAAGGGGTTTCAAATGGCAAGCCATGAGTCTGGTGAAATTTGGGATGGACCGAGCTGATGTCCCCGATTTGGAGTAATTGGCCCAGGGCAGCACTTCTGCAGAGTGGAGCTGCTCCAAAGCACAATCGGGCGCAGGGCTGAGCAGGACGAAGTTGCCAAGGTCAACGCAAGCTGCCAGGGCAGGACGAGCAGGTGTGCCCCGAAGCGGCCTCCAGGGAGACTGGCTGAAAAGTGCATCTGCCCGGCGTCGCCCCTTCCTTTCCCTGTGTCCTGTTTTGAACACCTCTGGGACTGGAGAGTGGCTTCTCTGGTCTGGAGAGTGACAGTTGCGGGTCCCTGCTGCCGTATCGCCACAGCTTTGCAAGCGTGGCCAGGGCACTCAGTCGGAGCAGAAGAGAAAACAACAGGGCTGCAGTCCTTACCAAGTCCTTACCACGTCCAAGTCGGCCCCAAGTCAACTCAGCCTAACTGAGCCTCCGCTCTGCCTACCTCATACAATGTACAGCTAACCCACCCTGGAGGGAGCAGGCAATAGAACTGGAAAAGAGGGGTTTGCTGATGCAAGCTTGCCTAGTAGCCCCAATCCAACACTGAGAGGAAACAAAGTTTAATAATAATAATAATAATAATAATAAATAATGATGAGGGCTACAGAGATGGCCAAGGGTTAAGAGCACACACTGCTCTTCCAGAGGACCTGAGTTTGGATCCCAGTCAGACAGCCCGACAGCCTATAACTCCAGCCCCAATGAACCTACTGCTGTCTTCTGTACTCAACCACACAAGGACGCACGCAGACACACAATTAAAGAAATAAACCTTGGGCTGGAGCGATGGCTCCAGAGAGTAAGAGCACTGGCTGCTCTTCCAGATGTTCAATTCCCAGCAGCTACAAGGAGGCTCACAGCCATCTGTAGTGAGAGCTGACGCCCTCTTCCGGTGTGCAGGCACACAATCAGGCGGAATGCTGTAAATAATTCTTTTAAGAAATAAAAATGAGCCTTATGTCATACCTGGAGCTGTTAGCAGCGTAAGACCTTGAAGCAACGCGCATAGGTGGTGTGGCGGCGGCGCCCGCTGCGTATTATATTTGTAGAAAAAAAGGTGCTGTGCCAACTGGTTATGTGTCACCTTGACACAAGCCAGAGTCATCAGAACAGAGGGAGCATCGACTGAGAAAACACTAAGATAGGGCTGCAGGCAAATCTATAGGTCACTTTCTTAATTAGTGATTGAGAGGTGTGGGACCAGCCCATTGTGGGTGGGGCCATCCCTGGGCTGGCAGTCCTGGGTTCTAGAAGAAAGCAGGTTGAGCAAGCCATGGGGAGAAGCCTGTAACCGTCACCCTCCACGCTCTCTGCATCAGCTCCTGCCTGAAGGTTCCTGTCTTGCTTGAACTCCTGTCCTGACTTCTTCAGTACTGAACACTGATGTGGTAGCCTGAGACAAATAAACCCTCCCCTCCCCAAGCTGCCTCTGTCCATGGGCCCTCGCCACAGCAGCAGTAGCCCTGCCTGAGACAGTGAGATCCAGAGGCTGGAGAGAAGGCTCAGCCCTTAAGAGCACTGGCTGCTCCTCCAGAGGTCCTGGGTTTCATTCTCAGTACACACACGATAGTTTACAGACACTGTTACTCTGTTCCAGTGGATGCAATGCTCACTTCCGGCTTCCTGTCAAGTAGGGAGATGTTGTCTGTTCTTGGAAAAGTCGACTCCATACAATACATTTATCAGTACCCCCCCCCCCCGCATACACGCTAATTTATACAGAGTGTGATTCCAATACAAAGGGCAAAATAGGTTTGTCTAGATTGAAAATTGTCACTAAACTGACCGTAGATGAAACAGCAGGTAAGAAGACCCAGGAATCCAGAACTGAAAGCCATCAGATGGGCCCAATTCTACCAGCTACCAAGGCACACTGTAACAGCTTTGTCATTAAAACAATGTGATCCTAAGCCATGAGTTGACAGAAGGACCGGGGACCCTAAGCCCAGAGAGACCCAGGTAGCTATGGAAATCACCCTGCTTCCTTGGGACCGAGGCAGAAGCAGGCAAGTCTGAGGCCATCCTGGTCTATATAGCAGGCTACAGGCCAGCCAGAGCTACACAGTGAGAGCCTGTCTTAATCAACAGAGGTTAAACACAGACAGGGTGAATGTAAGGAATGAAGTTGCAAGTCTGTAATCCCAACAGTTGGGAGACTGAAGCAGGAGTTTGTGAGTTTGAGACCAGCCTGAGCTACAGAGCAAAACTATGTCTCAAAGTAAATCAATCAATCTGTAAACAAATAGATAAACTTGTGCAAAGAAGCACGGACAGGGGAATCTTTAAAATATTACGTAAAGATGGTGGCGGCACACACCTTAAGCACTCGGGAGGCAGAGACAGGTGGATCTCTGTGAGTTCGAGGCCAGCATGAACTACAGTGCCAGTTCCAGGACAGCCAGGGCTACACAGAGAAACCCTCTCTTGAGAAAACAAAGCAACACTACATCAGGGGTTGGAAAGATAGTTATTGGTTAAATGTAGGGAGAGGTCTTACTAGCTACCTGTGCCTGTTTGGACGCGGTCACAGGTGCGTATGGGGCGTGTGAGATTTAGGCCTGAGGAGAGAGAGGTGAGCTCTCTCTCAGGGTTCCGGTCAGGTCTCAGAGAGCAGTGGAGACTGGATGCTTGGAGCACTGACCCTGGGTTATCGGTCTCTCGGGTAAGTGATTTCTCCCCAATATAAATAACCTACGACATCCCTATCCCATGTATGGGCATCTTCATCTTCAGGTTAAGAGTACTTGCTGTTTTAGCAGAGGACCGAAGTTTGGGTCTTAGCACCCATGCTGAGCATCTCACAACTGCCTGTAACTCCAGCGTCAGAGGATCCAGTGCCCTCTTTTGCCCTTTGAGGGAACTGCACACACATGGTGTACATACAAACAGACATAAATAAAACTAAACAATTTTTTTCAAGTCAGGATTTCTCTGTATTGCTTTGGAGGCTGTCCTGGCATTGGCTCTGTAGATCAGGCTGGCCTTGAACTCACAGAGATCCGCCTGCCTCTGCCTCCTGAGTGCTGGGACTAAAGGCGTGCAACACCACCGCTGGTTGTTTTTAAGGTCTTTTATCTGTGAGACTAAGAACCTGCAAAAAGGTCCCTGTATTCCCTAGTAAACGACAACATTGGGTGGAGATGTCATCACGAATTGTGTTTTTTAGAGGACAGAGAACTCTATGTGGTTTTTCAAGACAGGGTTTCTCTGTTCTTACCCTGGCTCTCCTGGAGACATGTCTCAAAACAATTATGTGTGTGTGTGTGTGTGTGTGTGTTCATATGTGTTTGTCCATGTGTGTGTGTATTCATGCAAGTATATGTCGGTGTACATGTATATTCATGTGTGTGCATTCATGCATGTGTGTGCATGTATTAAAATGTATTCACACATATATATTCATGTGTGATATTGATATGTGTGCATGTACTCATGTGTGATATTAATATATTTGTATGTACATATGTAGGTATTCATATGTGTGTGTGTACTCGTGCGTATTCATATGTGTGTATGTACTCAGGTGTGTCTGTGTATTCACATGTGCGTGTGTATATATGAATTTGCCATGATTCTATCTGGATCTGTCAAGCAGGGGAGGGAAGGCGGGGCTGGGCCGAGTAAGGAGCCAACAGGAGATTCCTCCCTTTAATACAGTGCCTCGTGTGGTGGTGACCCCCAACCACACGTTATTTTTGTTGCTGCTTCGTAACTGTCTTTGTTACTGTTATGACCTGTAATATAAATATTTTTGGAGATAGAGGTTTGTCAAAGGGGTTGTGACCCACGGTTGAGAACCACAGGCCTGAGAGAACCCAGGCTGTTGAGGGTGGCTGAGTGGAGCCGTGTCTCTGTCAACTACCGCAGACAAACTAGCAGTCTCTGGAAATTCGTTAAAGCATCGAAAAGATTCTGCACTGCACAAAAAGCTCCCCTGCACCCTGGACACAAAGCTGATGAGGTTCATTGTGCTGACGGGTGTCAATTCTGAACTGTGTCGGAGGTAGTTAGCCAAGCATGTCCGTGTCCCAGTGCTAGCATGACATAAAACAGGAATCAAAGATGGCACAAGACTTAAAGTCCTACTGGACTTGTTTCTGCCCTCCCGTCTTGTCCTCTGAAGATTAAATCCCATGTGTTTGAGTTGTCTGAGTAGGCAATTTAAGCCAATGTCAAAATAGCAATTTGTCAGTAGGGGATGGATCCTTTAAAAAGATTGGTGGGTTTTTAAAAATGCTTTTGATTCCCCCCAGTGTGTGTGTGTGTGTGTGTGTGTGTGTGTGTGTGTGTGTGACGGTGCCTGTGTGGAGGTCAAAGGAAAACCTGAGGGAGTCTCTTCTCCTAAGGTGTAGGTCCTAGGAAGGTGAGAGCCGCAACCCTCTGAGCCGTGTGTGCAGCAATTTAGTCCTTCTAAAATCAAAATCAAAAACTGAGGAAGACGTGGAGGAGGAGGAGGGAGGAGAGGGAGGAGGAGATGAGGGAGGAGGAGAGGGAGGAGGGAGGAGAGCAACCCAGAAGTTACTCTAAAGGAGCCTCTGCCACCAAAACCAAATGACCTGAGAACAAGGGGTGAATTTCCTTCCTTCCTTCTTTCTTTCTTTCTTTTAAAAGACTTATTTATTATGTATACAGTGTTCTGCTTGCATGTAAGCCTGCAGGCCAGAAGAGGGCACCAGATCTCATTACAGATGGTTGTGAGCCACCATGCGGTTGCCGGGAATTGAACCCAGGACCCTTGGAAGAGCAGCCGGTGCTCTTAACCTCTGAGCCGCCTCTCCAGCCCCAGAGGGTGAATTTCAACAACGCAAACAGGAAGGATGCTAATGTAAACTCAAGAAAGCTACCAGCAAACAGCTGCAGATGGAACTTAGAGCCACAGTTTCGCACCAACCCAGTAACTGCACATTCACACGGGAACCATCTAGACAGAAACGCTTACAAGCTTACAACGTAAGCTCCATCTCCCAGGATGGGCTTTGAGGAGAGCTGATCCTGGGACCTGGAGAGGTGGCTAAGTGGTTAGAAGCACTGGGGACACCATTCCGAAGGATCCAGGTTATTCCTCCTCCAGGGATCCGGCGCCCTCTTCTGGCTTCTGTGGGCACCTACACCCATTTGACTCATCTGCCATACACTCGCACAGACATGCGGATATATACATAAATAAAAATAATCAAAGTTCCTGTTAAAAAGAAAGAAAGAAAAGCTGAATTTCCAAGAAGGGTCCCAAGGGGCTAACTGGGCCTAGGCACAAAAGGGAGCAGTCTCTGGTCATTTGATGCTTGGTGGGGTCAGGTCTCTGCTCCATATTCCCGGAATAACCATAAGCTAAACCTTTGCAGCCCTCTCCTGGGATGTTCCTGTTTCAGCCGCCAAGATAAACATGCTCTGGAAAGTTCTGTTTTGCCATCAGGACCTGACCCTCTATGACCGGCACTCAGCCAATCAGAGCTGAGTATTTGCTATTCGTTGACAACCTCATTTGCATAGCTGACCCAGCTGAGTCCTGGGCCAGGACTTTCTCTATAGGTGCCAGCGGACCCCTTCTGTGTTCCAGTAGATTTCTCTTGTTTTCTTGGGGAGATGGCTCTCCCTGGATTTGTAAACTACTTCTTAAAGACCCCTCCTTCTTTTTGCTTGTTTGGTGACTGTAACTCTGTGTGTGTGTGTGTGTGTGTGTGTGTGGTGTGTGTGTGTGTGACACACAAAAGTTCAATTTTAAGAGGAGAACCAAAAAAAAAAAAAGGATTGAAATCTATGTGCAAGAGCAAAAAATTCTAACTTTTCTGTTTTGCATTTAAGATTTATTTTGCAGCTGGGGAGATGGCTGAGCCGTTAAGAGCACTGGCTGCTCTCCCAGAGGACCAGAGCTCAATTCCCAGCATGAACATGGCAGCTCACGACAGTCTAAAATGCCAGTCTCAGAAGATCAGATGCGCTGTGCCGGCTTCCATGGGCACCAG